TTGACATTATTTCCAATATTCCAGGATTCCACTAGTGCTTGGTAGCTATATTCACATATGTGAAACTTCTTTGAAAGATATTGTTAGGACTGACTTGTAGACATTTCTTCTAGTGTAGATGGAGTGCAAATTGAATGCTAACTAAATGTGTTCTTTCCTTTTGTTTTACTACCATACTTATTCCCTTATTTCATAGGTATACAATGATTATATCGGTGATAATAATAATAATACACACAAACATACATACTCAGTGCCTTTTATATCTGAACTAAGGAACATAGCACTTTTTATTTCCTTTGTATACTTCTCCTGATTTTGTCTTTCCAGGACCACTAGCCATTCTGGACATATCTGATGATTATATCTAGCTTGGCCCATAAGCCACACATACGGCTTCCAATGTCATGATTTGTTGTTGTTGTTGTTGTTGGTGGTGGTGGTTGGTTGTGGCGCCTGAACTCTGGAACTGGGCACTGTCCCTCAGCTCTTCAGCTCAAGGCTAGATCACTCGAGCCATAGCGCCACTTCCGGCTTTTTCTGCTTACGTGGTACTGAGGAATCGAACCCAGGGTCTTATGCCTGCAAGGCAAGCGCTCTACCACTGAGCCACCTTCCCAGCCCTCAATGTCATGATTTAAAAAATAGCTTCATTATAGCCAAAACTAAATAACTTCAGCCTATCTTCTCCCACAGGGCTGTGACAAAGACTGCCCCCCACCCCCACCATCTTTCTTTGGCTTGAATAGCACCTGGGGGTCTTTGTAGAAAAGATACTGAAATCACAAACACTGCTGTGCAGGTGCCATACCAGGAGGGGCAGCTTTGGGGTTTCCTTCCCTTTGGCAAAAGGGAATGAAGGCAAAACATGTAGGACCTGGGGTTCCCCACTAAACCATTTTTGGGAAATGGTTTCTCACCCATTTTTCTTTCCACAAAATTTGTGGGGCAACTCAATGTACATGGCATTGTGATAAGACTGCGCCTTCCTAAACACTTAGAGTTTGTTAGGGCAGGGACCAAAGGTGACAAATAAAATATAGTACAGGTGCAAAAGCAGAACAGAGGCATGTAGTTAACTGCGCTGGGATGAACAGCAGACTTTCTCCCAGCAGCAATCACAGCTGACTTCCGCAGAATGAGAGCAGGGCTCGTGGGATGAAGGTTTTTCAAGAAGAAGCAGGTCTGATCAGAAGATCTGAAGGTTTTTCAAGAAGAAGCATGTCTGATCAGAAAAATGAGAGCAGTTCTTGGGGAAGAGTCCAGTAGGAGGCAAAAGCAGAGAGGAGTGGGAAGGGAGAAGGGGAGGATTAGAAAACAGGTTTGCCGAAGAGTTTGTGCTCTGGAGTAGCTACAGAGAATGGGGAGATTCTCAATAAGCTGTGTGGCTGTAGACGCCACATGGGTTGTAAGGAAAAAGAGCTAGAATGGTAGCGTTCACTTAGAAAGCCACTCTAATCACTCTATTGAAAGCCCTAGAAAGAAACCTCCCAGAAGTGTCTCATCGTTTCATTCCATTTGATTTAGAAGTTGTTGTTTTTGCTCCACAGATTCCTCAGTGTGGTATGTAACACCTATGCACAAAATAAATGTATTTAGCCAGGTATGACTAACCACCACATACATGCAAGGCTTAATGTAAGTTTATTTAGTTAGTTTTCACCTGAGATAGAAATAAATGCAATTCAGGTCTAATTACTTTGTAACTGCTGGATCACAGTGGAGTAACAAACAGGGAACAAATATTTTAGAAATTATTTTTGCACCTCCAAGGAACTCATATAATTGAGAAAAGCAAGGCAAATCGCCACCCCCACCTGCACCCCAGCCACAAACGCAGTGGCTTATAGGTTTCAAGTACAGCAGAATTTGTTCTGCACAATTATAGAAAGTAAGTAGAGAGCATGCAGGTGGTTGGACTGAGTGGGAGCAATTGCAGGTGGGTGGCATGTGGGAAAGACACCAGCTTGGCCTTGGAGACTGATGGGAGGAAGCTAAGTCAGAACGGCTCCAAAATTAAACTTTTTCATACACTTTGGCCAACTCAATGGCGCTGACTTCAATAAAGAGCATGGTTTTCATCGCACCATGGTGCAGACATCGAGAGCTATGTTTTGTTTCCGAGTTGCGAGGTGAAGATGCTGGTTTTCTTCAGATAAATCATCTCCCAGTCTGGGGAGCTCTCCGAAGCTGTCCAGGCACCTGAGCCTGGTCTGGGATCTCAGAGATTTGATTCACAAACTCCAAGCAGCAGGGCAAGCTGTCTGTGCCTTGCATTTTGCAATGCCGGCAAGTCTGTGTGTTATCTGGGCTAGGTCCCTACTTTGCTACCAGGGCCTGTCCCCCACTTCTCTTACCTTTCATTGGTTTAGACAAATGACCTCATCCCCAGACCTTCATGAGGGCTCTGTCAGGTTGTATTTTATCTTCACTGTAGCTCGCATCCTTCTAGCTTTATCTGTGCCTTTCAGTCAAGCAGTCTTTTAACTCACTTTTATCTTGTTTGCTTCCTTTGCTTCTTATCTGCACTTTAAAGAAAGGATAGAAAATGACATTGCATGGGCGGGGGGGTTGTGAAGACGGCTGGGTGGGCTTATTGCTTTGGATTGGGACCTGTGAGGTTAACACCCCAAATTCTGACCACCCCATTACAGTCCTAGGACTGAAGAAACGGAGTCCCACAAGGGGTGGGAATGTGTAGTCACAGGTCTGGAGACTAGAGAAGCAGGATGGGTGAGGGAGGTAGATGAAGATGAAGCTCCTGAGGTTGGAGGAGGAACTATCCAGAGAGGAGAAGGAAAGCAGGGTGTGAGTGCTAGCGCCCCAACTCCTACTCAACGAGGCAAAAGCGATGGCCGTTTCTTTGATTATGGCTTTCAGAAACAATGCTCATGCCTTCGATCGTCTTCCAGTTGTCCCAACACAGTGTGTGCATATCTGATTCAACTGTTTCTTTAAATTGTCCCTCATTTTTTCCTTTTCTCTTCCCTTCCTTTGTCCATCTCAATTTCTCTTTTCTTTCCTTGTGGCTGTGACTTGATCTGGTCATTTTTTTTCCCATTTGTTTTCCTCCCCTTTTCTTCTTTTGGGTGCTAACTTAAGAGATGATAGATGGTGTTTTGTGAGCAGTTAGTGGGTAAAGTGTTATCTCTGGTAAACAGTTTTATGGCTACATACTGAGAAACTGGAGAGCTGTGGCTTTTCTTTACAATAAGATTTTGACACCAAAACTGCTTGTTAATAGTGGCTTTCTATTGGGAGTAAACTACTGCAGACATAGAGTGCTTGTTTAACATAGAAAACAAAACTTATTTTTAAAAATGATCTTTAAGTAGTTGGACAAAGGGGTTTCAATTCGAGATGGCAGTTTACGAGTATGTGCATCCTCATCAATGCCACCCCTCATTCTGTCGCAGACTTTCTTTTTTCTTTTTCTTTGATGCCAGTCCTGGGGCTTGAACTCAGGGGCGCTGTCTTTGAGCTCTTTCACTGAAGGCTAGTGCTCTACCACTTTGAGCCACAGCCCCACTTCCACTTTTTGAGTGGTTTATTGGAGATAAGAGTCTCATGGGGACTTTTCTGCCCAGGCTGGCTTTGACCATGATCCCCAGATCTCAGCCTCCTGAGTAGCCATGATCACAGGTATGAGTCACTAGCACCCAGCTTCAGATTTACTTTATTAGAGATTAATGTGGAGCAAGATTTTGAATGGGAATTTGCAAACACTCGTCCCTGGAGCTAGCAGAGGTCTGAAAGTATCCACTCTATACTGGCGAGATGCAGGGGATCAATGATCTCTCGCGTTATTTGAAAACTGGCTTAACCCTGTGGGTCTTTAGAAATGGAGCAGGGATGGATCCTCTGGGACCCAGGACACAGTATAAGAATGCTGCCTTCTATATCTGAGGGTGATCATGAATCCTCGTGCTGGAGGAAATACTTTAGCATCAGGAATTTACGGATCTTTGTCTGCATAAGACAATCCTGTACATCTGAAGATGACTTTATGTATGTATTCCATGAAAAATAACTCAGGATCTTCTTTTTATGACCCGTAAAATCCCAGTTGGTGGTCTTTACCACTTGAGCTCAAGTTTTGTATTTTTCATTAAGATTTTTTATGTATTGAAAGTTCTTGTCTAGAGGGTGTCTTTCCAAAATATTGCTTGTGAATTCTCATGAACTCTTCTGCCAACTCAATGAACGTAGAACAGTCTTATATGAAAAAAGATATAGAATCTTTTAAGTTAGAAAAATCTTGATTGTTACAAATGTATTGACTGAAATATAGTAGACTCTGGGGAGAACTCAAACAACATAATTCCTTAGAAAGACAAAGCCAAAACCCAACAAAATCAGCACCAGGAAATGGGTATTTGCAGAGGGCTCATGACAAGGGGAGAGATGTCAACTAAAGAGGAGGGGGGAGGGAAAACACAGTCAATAATTCATTGCATATACTGTGGAATTTAGAAAGGTTGAAGGGGGTGAGAATATTGAAGGGGTGGTACCCATCAAGATACATTGGATTCACAAACTTCTGTTAAGTGGCACCTCCAAGATAATTACAATTTTTTTAAAAAAATTCTTTTCTCTTAAAAAAAAAGCCATTTAAAAGTCACATTTAAGCTGGGCACTGGTGGCTCATGCCTGTAATCCTAGCTACTCAGGAGGCTGAGATCTGAGAATCATGGTTCAAAGCCAGCCTGGACAAGAAGATCTGTGAGACTCTTATCTCCAATGAACCAACAGAAAACAGGAAGTGGCACTGTGGCTCAAGTAGTAGTACGCTCGCCTTGAGCTGAAGAGCTGAGGGACAGCGCCCAGGCCCAGAGTTCAAGCTCTACAACTGACTCCCCCCCCCAAAAAAAATCACATTTAATCTTGACACCATGTCAAGTTACACCAGCAACCATTCTGATGGAAGTTTCTGGGTAGATTGCCCCTCTGTGTCCAGGTTTTAGGTGACCTGTTTCTAATCATTTGCTTCTTCCTTCCAGATAAGTTTGAGAGCATTGCACTACTGAATGAGACCATCCCTGAGCTAGTCACCGAAAGTGGACAAAATATCACACTCAACTACCAGTTTCAAATGAAGGGGCCTGTGAAAACAGTCATATGGGAGAAGATTCAGCCCCACCAGATAGATATCTTAACATCTTGTGACTTGCTGGAAGGGTCCCCTTACACCTCAAAGTACCAGAACAAAGTCTGGGCTACTTGTCGCCAAGGAAGCAGGGTGAGCATCCTCTTCATTCCCAATGTCACTGTCTCCGAATCTGCCATTTACTGCTGCCTGGTGGAGGCCACTACAGGAGAGAAGGAAAGCTACATGGTCAGGCTGATCGTCTATGGCCCTAAGCGTAAGTGTCCAGTGGGTAATTTCAAGGGTGGAACATGGAAAAAGCTGATCATGGTGGCTTGGTCGCTAATGTTCTTTTCATTTGTGGTACAGCCATTCATTTAGTATGACTTTATTGTTTAACAATATTCTTGCTTTTGTGTGTGTGTGTGTGTGCCTATACTGCGGCTTGAACTCTGGGTGCTGTCTCTTAGCTTTTTCCATCAATGTTGGTGCTCTGCCACCTGATTCACACTTCTGCTTTCAGCTTTTTGACAGTTCATTGGAAGTAAGAGTCTCATAGGTTTCCTGCCTGGGCTGGTCTTCAGCCAATATCCTGAGATCTTAGCCTCTTGAGTAGCTAGAATTACAGGTATGAACTACCAGCATCCAGCTTAACAATATTTTTATATTTTATTTATTTATATATGTATTTATTTATTGTCAGTCATGGGGCTTGAACTCTAGGCCTGGGCGCTGTTCCTGAGCTCTTCAGCTCAAGGCAAGCACTCTACCACTTGAGCCATAGTACCACTTCCTAACAATATTTTTAATGGTGGAATTTAGGTATGTTGGACATTACTAAACTTTAGGTTTCAGTGTTTCTTTACCTTACTAATCCATCTCGCATAGATATAGATGTAACAAAATATTTTCCATTTTCTTATCTGTTGTATTCCTGGAATTTAACACACACACACACACAGAGCAGTTTATACCATCCAGTTCTACAACTCCTCGCATCTCAATTCTATTTAGCTACCTGACAGAGGTGACAGTGTTTATGTGCCCCAGTGATAACAAGGCAGGGCTGGACTAGTGCCTGCTCAGTCCTAGATCCACTGGAACCCAGGAGGGGTTTGAGGAAGTTGCCAGATTGCCAGGTCCAAGCTCTATTTCTGCACAGAGGCAGTGACCTTGAGGCCAATGAGGCTGACCTTCAGGACCTCCTCCTGAACATTCTCCTCAGAAGCCTCATTGGTACTCATGATTTGTATCTGTATTTGCTCCTTTGCTATAATGAAGCCCTAGATTGCGTAGACATCAAGCAGACAAAAAATCGCAGTCTACTCTTGAATGCAAGTGAGGGGAACCAAGGCCTTTTCTACTTATAGAAGCACAGATATACAGAGGCTCACAGAGAGGAGGACACGGCCTGGTTCTGCCTGTCGGTGGCTTTCTTACTGTTGAAGAAATTTCCTGAAGAATTCCTTTTAGCCAGCAGTAGACATTTTACTTTGCTTTATCCTCAGCGCCTCCTGTCCCTCCCCCTCCCTGCCTCCCCTCCCTCCTTGCTGCCTTGTGCACAGGCTTTCAGTCATTTTCTTTGCTCCTCCTTTCACATTCAGAGGGAGGGCTGCCTAGCCCGTGAAGGCTCTCCACAATCTCGGCCTTACTGCAAGCTGGCAGTCCTTCCTGTGTTGGCAAGGGACAGAAAAGGGTTCTTAAGGCAGCAGCCTGCTGCACCCCTGAGCAAGGAAGAATGAGACAGATGCGTGCTGGAGGAGCAGGCTTTCAGAGCCAGCCACCCAAGGCCCCAGCAAGCCTCCTTTGCTCCTTTGGCTAACAGCGCAAGGCGAAGGCAAGATGCATACCTGGATTTGGAACCAATGTCCGAGGATGGCTGATAAAGTATGTTTAGGGGAAAGAATGAGCGGAAATTCCTTGTTGTATGTGTTGACACATTCCTGCAGACACACACAGGACATAGTACCTAGATGGGTCCCATCTAGGTAAATAAAGTAAAAAGCTAAAAATAAAGTAAAAAGCTAAAAATAGAAAGATGTTAGTTTTTTTCCTTGAAGTCCAAAGCATGAAAATGTTCTATGCAAAAAAATATCATATAGAATCATCTTTAAATCATCTTCAATGAGGTCTTGTCCATTACATGCTGAAAAGATAAACATATTGATTCACAGAGAAAATGATGTCTCAGGAAACACATTTTCTAAACTTCTACTAAATAATAAAAATGGCTTAAGTCCAATTATGACTGTTTCTTGCACAAAACAATTTCCGTGTACCTTGTATCAAAAGTCCGCCATTGATGTGAAGGTGATTGTGTGAGGCCGAGTATATATTCTAGTGAGCATGGGTTTTGAACAATTGCACAATGGGTTTTTGACATTTGATTGACAGTTTGAAAGACTAACAAGTGAACTGTCTATCCATTAGTAAAAACTGTAATGGATGGAAGATGATAGTCATTGACTATGTTTTGGCTTAATTCTTTTTTCAATTATTACAAGTAAAGATTGAATCTAAGGAATGAGACAGAAAGCAAGATAGATCATTTATGTGCTCTCTGGTGCAATTTGATTATTTCAAGACCTCAGGCTGTTTGGTCGAAAATCAATGTAGAGATTAAAGCATAGAGACAGGTAGAAGATGTGAGGCAGATTTAATTTATTTTATCTGTCAAGGGAAAGGTGATTGCGAGACAAATTTTATAAACTGCTCTACATTCTTTTCTTAGCACCCATCAACTCCTTTTATAGGACAACTTTTGAATCCAAAAGAGACATTTTCCAGACTCTCAAACTTAAACTTACATACAATTACACAGCAAGATACACACATGTACTTGTTCTTCATTATTATTTGCTTTATGTACATCTTCAGAAAAGAATAACTTACTCAGCGGTCATCCAAAAGATTTTTATGTATTCTTCAATCAAGAATTATATAATAAATGGTGTATCCAGGCCTTACTATGTTTTGAACAGAGGAAGAAAATGGCAGGATTGTGAGATGACTTGATATTGACTTTCTTTGCTGGATAAAGACATTTGTCTCTCATCCTTTGCTCTTCTGGTTATACTATAAAATTGCTCTGCATTTGACTGTAATGAATTTGAAACTTAAGGCACAGGAACAAGGAACTTTACTGAGGGTGACCAAAACTGTTTGGTCTTTAGTGTCTTCCAGATGTTCATTAATCATAACAGAAGTACTCAAGTTGCCACACTAATGATTTATGAAGCCTTTTTTAAAAACATTTAATAAATGATGTACAGACATTGTTTAAACAGTTTATTAATTACAAAAAGAAAAAACTATAAATGCACTCAGTCCTCACAGCAAGTTTGTGGACCTGTTTGCTTCTGAGTGTCCGACTTTTCCTGTGTCACTCTAATCTTCCACCACGGAGGGATCTCACTCAATGTGGTGCGGGCTGAGAATCCAGTAGGGATATTGGGTTATAGTTTTCCTTCCTTGTGGTGTTTTCTGGTTTGGGTATCAGGGATGCTGTTCTCACAAGATGAGTTTGGAAGTGTTCTTCCTCCACTGTTTGGATAGTTTAAGAAGAGTAGAAGTGTTGTTGGTATTAATTCTAACTTAAATGTATGGTTTAATTGATCTGTGAAGCTATCTGGTCCAGGTGCTGGTGATGAACCACAAGTCCTGGATTTACCTTGACTGGGGACAAGTATGGCACATATACACATATGTGTTTATTATATACTATATATATACACATATATATGTATATCTACAAATACTTCTCACTTGATACAATCTGCCTTGCAGTCCTTAAACCATGAACCATCTTGAATTTCTCAAAGCTTTATAATTAAAATTTGCTACTATTGCCAGGTGCTATCCTCACTACTCAGGAGGCTGAGATCTGAGGATGATGGTTCAAAGCCAGGCAGGAAAGTCTGTGAGACTCTTATCTCCAATTAAATACCACTGGAAGTGGTGCTGTGGCTTAAGTGGTAGAGCACTTGCCTTGAACTGAAGAACGCAGGCACAGCGGCCGAGCCCTGAGTTCAAACCCCACGACCGCCAAAAAAAAAAAATCTTCTATCAAGAGGATTAATAACTGCATCCATTTGTATGCTTCACTTTTCCATGAATTTAAGAGATTAAGCTATCTCTGCCTAAAGTTGTCAAAGTGTCTTTCTAGAATATGCTCTGTAAGTCTTTTTGTTCAATTATATAATAACAATTCTGTTCTAATAGGAACCATGTCCATTTTAGTTTTAAGTTTTCTACAGGCATTTTTTTTCTCCCATCAGTATTAACTATTTGAATTTTAGTGATTCTTGATTAGAGACTGGACTTTTGAAGATCAGTATCTGGGGAGGAAATGTTCATGAACTTTGGTTTATAACTCTTAGAACAGTCGATTTCCTTTTCAACCACTTTCATTTTATATTTTGCATGTTTTAACATACATACTGTGGATCACTCATGTCTTGGACAAGAGGCTGAGATCTGTAAATTAAGATCCTAGAAGCGTTCATCAGGGACTCATGTGACCACAGCCAACGCAATCTTCCAGGTGCTTCTGTGAGGTTCAGGGGCTGACAGACAGGTAGCATTGGGGAATGGAGGTCTTGCAATTACGATTTTCCTTGTCGATGGCTTGGTGAAGATTCCTGACTTGAGATGCTGCTTTTGAGCTAAATTGTGAGAATATAAAAGGAGAAATTAATTCTTGTTTTGTGGGAGGGCCTTTAGTATCTATTAAAAATTCAACCAGTTTGCTCCTAGATTGATTTGGATTCCAGAACAGATTCAGGTCATTGATTCAGATTATTTACTTCTTTATTTATGTTTAAGATTTTGTTAACCCCAAACCTTCTTTGCCATTTCTATGAACTTAAAGTAAATAGACCACTGTGGGCAGGGTGATTGGGATGCACTGGGCTGATGGACATGTCCGTTTCCATGGCGTAGTTTAATGAACCCATGTTATTGTTATTGGGAAATCAAACCTCCAGGGCAGTTCATTTGCGTGACAGAAACATACCACCCTAATCCCAGAGCACCGGTGACATGGCTCACAAGTCAAAATCGCCTCTGTTGAAACAGAGCAAGACCAATTATCAGCCTATGTTTTTATTTTGTTTTTAAAATGCTGGAGGATCACTGAGTAACCAGGTGGAAAATTCTGTTTCCAACATCACAAGTGAGTTGATTACTCAATCATGGCCTATTATGTCATTGCATCTTTATAGTTGCCTCTGTCCACAAGGTTTAGCATTTGAAAGCATAGGATGGGTCAGTGAACGG